CTACATCTGCCATCAGCTGCTAGATGAGATCAATTTATGCAAGAATCTATACAAACAGACAACAATCACCATTCCAAGACCCTCACAACAGCGAATCAACACACATTCAAACCTGATTAGGTTAAAAGATAACTAAAAATATCATCATTAAAATGTCAAGATAAAATTTCATACCACAAAAATTAAAAACGAAGGTTAAAATGAAGGTTAAAATAGACSAGCTATTACACAATCCCAARCCACTTCARATAYCTGYRTCACCCSWACARTTKACYCCRATCKCCTCCARAWAYRCARWTCTCMGYTGYNTTGCTTTATRAAGGAAAAGGGCYRTTYGRTGWGTYAYCTTNSCATTCTGGCCAGCCATTARGAATGTAGTTYTKATAWRGRGATYCCAGTGAGYCTTCTGTATGATGAATGGTCCGAGGTATTGATTTCTCTCTTTGTTGTACAAAATACAATTAAACAGTACATGTGTAATATCCTCTACCTCTGTTGCCCCACAGATACAGAAACGTTCATTATTTATTTCCGTCATTTATTTATTTCCGTCACTTTTACCCCGCCCTTCTCACCCCCTAAGGGGGACTCAGGGCGGCTTAAGAGAAAGGCACAATTCGATGCCTTGTCACATATACATACATATATATAAAAAAAATTAAGCAATTACAATTTAAAATTAAATCATCAATACATAGTAACACCATGTATCCTAGCTCTAAGTTCTACTAAACTATCATGACATTATATAGAACTTGGTTAAACCTTCCATGTTTAACCATTGTATCTGTCTGTTCGAATCGGGTTCTAAGCTGGTGGTAATACAAAAGAAAGACTCTCATCCTGATCATGCCAGATTTGMGGAGAGATGAACCTAATGCAGGCTGTGGTAAGGAAAACTGGGAAAGGCATGTACCTGAACACTCCACGCTGGCATCCTGGCTGTGGTTGCAACTCTGTTCTTCCCAGCTTCCTTTTTGGCACTCCTTCAGGGACGCTTCTTCTCCTGTACAGTTGATGCTCTCCAGCCAAATGGGGCCCRATCCTTGGCCATAGTGTGCTCCACCCAATGCTTTGGAGGCATTGCCACAGCCCAGCTGCCTGCAGACCACTTGGGCATCTTGTAAATCCCAGCCAGCATCACAAACGGTCCCCCAKGCRTCATTGTGAAAGACTTCAACCCGCCCAGAGCAGGGACTTGTGCCATTCATTAAACGGAGATCTTTAGGAGAAAAAAGAGAAACTTGGTACGAGATGAATGGTGATGATAGTTATAAGCAAAAGTTTTGGTGTTAGAATTCATTACACCCTAAACACTGAATCCATTAATTTTACCTATATGTTGATTCATCATTCACCAATAAATGGATCTACTCTAGCTGGGAATAACCAGCAGGATGCCAGTCATTGTGATGACTTTGAATCAAATTGGTAAAATAAAAGAATTTAGTATGAGGATGTCTTGGTCTCAGACATTGCCACCCTAACTTAGCTTCTTGTTTCTTCTGTACTCAATGGGATAATTGGAACTGAGGCCTGCTCTCAACCAAACCTGGTACACATATCTATCATGACAAATGTAAAATAGTTGTGGGGTTTGAGGACAATGACAGAGGATGATGAGGGTTATGGCCCACCCACATCTGGAGTGTCATGTTAATCCCAGACACCCATAATGGATCTGAACTAATCTTGGTAAACATCCTCATCATGACCATCTTAAAGCACTGATGGGGTTTAAGGGGGTTGATAAAGGATGATGGAAGTTGTAATCCATGTGTGCAACTAGACCAAACCTGGTACAAGGACCCTTTGTTATTCCATTTACAATAATGATAGGATTTAGCAAGGGGGGGAGGCAAGAAAGAGGATGATGGAAGCTGGAGTTCACCTAAATCCAGAGAACTGCGTCAACACTGGTTCCAACCCAAACAGATATGGCTGACGGGATTTCCAGAAAGAAAGATCTCAGATTGGTGGGATTTGCACCCACCCAGATG